TAACAGAAAATTCATAACAGAAAATTTATAAGCAGAAACAAACATTAGCTTATCTAAGCTTATCTAAAATTTAAACAATATTCAACTTATCTTCTTGTACATATGTTGCTCTATATTTAGTCACACTTGTTAGCTAATTTTAAATTTATAACAAATTGCTTATAAATTGATCGATTGCCCACAGCTGATCGATCGAATGCCCCACAAATTCGTGGGGCGTTTTTTCATTGAGACCATAGAGCATAAAATGTCAAGTCTATGCGAGGCAAACACGAATCGATGGGCAAATAGTCAAATAAAACGTGTTAATATTTGCCTGCAAAGCGATGAGGCAACCTGCAGAGATCCACCTTGAAGCGCCGTGGTCCCGCTCTATGCGTAAATCTAAATATATATATATGTATATGTATATATTTCTCTCTATATGTGAGCTAGTAGATGTATTGCCAAATACTCTTTTCGCGTCATCATAATAATCAGCATTATCATTTAATAGTGTGCATTTGGCTTATCTGCACTCTGTTGTCTAGTTTGCTTTTTCCATTTTATTTGTTTATTTTTTATTTGATTTTTCTATTTGTTGCTGTTGTACAATTTGTGTTTGCTGAGCGTGCGTCGACCTTATCGCGGAGGCTCTCCACTCGCGAACCTCTCTCAGTATAATATACTATTCTCGCTGTTTTTCCTTTTTGTTACTAATACATAACAATATATTTATTTTTTTTTTTGTGCTCTGCTGCGCTGCGCAGCGCTGCTAAAAGAGCTGTTAAATAATAACAAAATAAAATACTGTTGCTAAATAAATTTTTGTTGCTTTTACGCTGCTGCCAGCAGCTCGAAAATCTCAACGCAGTTTGTCGACGACTTTCGAACGAAAAACATAAAATAAAAAAAATGTGTCTAGCAGCGAAATAAAAAGCAATTAAAGCAGCGAAATGATCTAAACGAATAATTTAATTAAACCGAATGTAGCCAGATATGTAATTTAATTAGAATATGCAAAATAAGTGCAATAAGAATTAATTAAAATGAAATCAATTAACAACTAATCAGCGAGAAACGTGCGGACGGACACATAAAAAATAATAATTGAAAAAAATTTAAAAAAAAGTACGAGCATCGACAAACGGCCGAAGACCAAACGAACCAAACTTGTATTTATAGAACAGCCTGATAAAAATAATCACATCTGATTAACTCTATGTGTAATCGAAGCAATCAAACTGCAGTAAATAATAAATGAATTCTAAATTCATACCGGAAAACGATGAATATCGAATGAAGATCAAAAGAGAACACAAAAAAATACACGAATTTGCGTAGGCGTTGCGTGAAAATATATGATAATAATAAATCAATCGAGAAATCACAAAACTAAGAAGAAAGCAAAGAGAAAATTCTAAAAAAAAGGCGAAAAAAGACAACAAAATAAATAAAAAAAAAAAATACATGAACAAATTCGACAAACAGTTTTTTTCAATTCGCAATGCCAATGCTAACGATTTTGAAGCGAATCAAATATGAATTCATGCAGAGTGAGTTGGGGACGGCGGTGCACAGAATTCTGTGCGGCACTGTGAAAGATAACGCATGACGTCCGTACGATCCGCCTCGATTTGTGATGTGAATGTGCCAGCCGTTTGCTTGATAGCTGAGAAATCAAATCAAATTAATACCGCAATGCTTCAATTAACAGTGAACGAAAAAGCAAACCAGGTCGTCAATAAAATTGTTAATAAATTACATTTTTATTATTATTATTATTATTACTTTTTTGTATTTTACTTTTCGCGCATTAACACAAAGTGCAATGGCAGCCGCCTTGACTGCCAGCTGAATGTGCTCTTAATTGCTTAGCTGCTTTTGTTCGAAATAATTGTGCTATTAACAAACTAAAAATCAAAGTCAACCAACAACAACAACAACAAAAACAACAATGTTTGCCACAGCCAGCGATACATTGCGGAACAAGGAGACAACTCGAAAGATCAAAACAAAGTCGACGACGTCAAGGCAAAGTCCATTGAAAACCTGGTGGAATGATTGTAGGTTGATTAGCCCCAGGGGGAAATCCAAATGGGATACTAGAAATATATATATTTATATTCAATTTGATAATCATTGGGCAAAGCTGGGCGGTTTTTTGATTTTCATTTTGCCAATTTTCTGGCCCATAAAAACTGATTAATTATGGCCCGGTCAATGCTACCAAACACGCGACTTGCGCCCCTTGCGGCCAGCCTTGCCTTGACCATCTTTCTCGACAGCTGGCAACGACAGCGCGCACAAAATAGAAATCTCTTCTGCTATTTTATTTTTATTTCTATTTCTATTTTGTTTTTGTTTTTGTTTTCTTTATTTAAATCTTCTTAGCCCGAGTTCAGTGCGCAGAAGTCGCTCGCTTAGCGCTGAATTAAGTAATAGTAGCAAATGGAGCAGCGACAGTAAAAAAAGACTTGGCAGCCGGCAAAGGCGATGAGTAACAACTGTCGAAAGACAGTGCCTGAGAAAGCTATGCGTACACGCAACGAGCATTTGAATTTGAACAAAAATTTGGCTAGCAATGCGGCATATTGGTTTGAGAGTGCCTAGGGCCTTTGTCTATGCAGCAATATTTAACTTGGGGTTTTAAATAATAAGACCTTGAGGTAAATACTTATATTTATTTATATATGTATATGACTAAACTTTGATAGTTTCACAGACCAACTGTTCAGACTGCAGCATCTTGAATAATGGAAAATCATATATGTTATATTACGAATTTTTCATTAACATTTGTAGATTTTTTATGGCAGATATTTTATTATTAATTATACATGGAATAAAGTTATTCGATCGTGGAATGTGAATTATTTGCTGATTTATTTCTTAGGCTTCCAGCATACCCTTCAAATGCTCTGTAAAATTAATATATTTACACTTGAGGTCACGAAAATAGTAATGCTACATAATACAGATATAAGGCTTGATATTCGTTCAAAAATTATTTAAAAATTTGTCTATTATGACCTTCCTAATATCCTATAATTTTTATTACTATATTATTGATTATTTCTAATTCGTGAATACAGCTTTCTGTTATCACTAAATTTGATTTTTATTTTCTTTTTATTCTATTATTTCAATTTTATACCCTTCATCAAATAGTTTGAAGACATGCACGATCAAAACAATAAGTTGAACATAGAGAAAAAAATTTATTCTATACGATCTTCTATGACTTAAACAATTCTTTTACAATTTGTACTCAACGACAATCATATATTAAAATTCAATATAAAAGTCCTTAAAAAAAAAAATCTTATAAATATATGAAAAGGAACTCAAATGTTAATAGCATACCTAGCCAAACTATTTTTAAGTAGAAATTTCAGAAATGGAAGAGTTGATTATTGAAGAAACATTTATTTATATTGTTGTACTCATGATGAAATTGTAACTTAGTTAATAGAAAACCATTCATTGAGAAGATGATATCGAACTAAAATAAATTGAAATGCCAATATTTATATATGTTGATAGGGTAGATTTTTTCTTCAGTAGACAGAAACTTTAGACCAACGATATTTTTATTTTACTTTTTGGCAGATAAATATAAAAAAAATATAAATATATGCACAAAATTGAGAATTTAAATATCAAGAAACTAACTTTTATTCATTGGTAAACACTTACAACACTTTGACTTCACACGTTTTGCATTTGTCACCGATTCAGGGTCAGATCGTAGATATATGTATGTGTGTATGAACTAGTTGGAGATAAGCATTTGCCACTATCAATTGAAATGGAAGTCGGGCAGTGCCCGTGTCGGGCGGGAGGCTACGTTGTCTCTTATATAAAGGAACGAGTGCAATAAATTGTCTGTATGTAGGTAAAATCAATATTGAATAATAATAGCGACAACAGTCGGCGCCTCGACTTATCAGCAGTCAGGCAGAAGCGCACAAAGGACAGAGAGAGAGAGAGAGAGACAGGGAGAGAGCCAAGTCTCTGGCTTGTGGCTTTTGGCTTCTGTCTTTTGGCATTTACACTTAGTTTGTTTATTTATTTCGTTTCCCCCATTGTGTGTGCAAATTATGCGCGCTGTGGCACAGTTTCGATAGATATGTATTAACATGGTTTTATCACTAATATTAAAATATTAAAATAGCAAGCGAGTGATATATTTTTTTCTTTGGCCGTCGCGCTGTCAGTAGCAAACTGAGAGCGTCTATGGCAAGTCTGCAAATTAAAATAGTTTTGAGCAAATCCATAGACAGAGCAAGTAACCAGCCGAGAAGTGGGCCGAAAGTGAGCCGTGGACTAAACTCCTATTGCATCTCTTTGTAGACTCCTGCATGGCTGGCAATCGCTCGCCGCGCTCGAGCACGCCGCATCTCTTCCAGCGCTCGAACACGCTGCCTCTGCAGCAGCGGCCCAGCCCCGGCGAGGTGCAGTACGAGAGCTATGTGCTGGCCACGGTGGCGGCCAATGCCAAGTCGCCGGTGGAGCAGCTGGAGCAGGTCAAGGGCGCGCCACCGCCGCCGCCGCCGCGTCGCCATCATCTGACGGCCACGCCCAAAAGCACAAAGGAGACAAATGGACACGACTCTGCCAGTCCGCTGCAGTCGCCCGCCAGCTCCGAGGCTGGCCAGACCACGGCGGATGCGCAGGCACTCTGCCAGATACGCGAGCAAATGGCGTTGAGCCTGAAGCGACTGAAGGATCTGGAGGAACAGGTCAAGGTCATACCTGACATGGAGGTGAGTCGAAGGAATATAAATAACATAAATTTGTATGAAATAAATACATAAATATGTTTATAAAAATATACATAAAATATATAATAAACAATATATATAAACATAAAACAAAAATAATACTAATAAAAAATAATAATAATACACAAAAACAAAAATATATAGAAAATTAAATAAATAATTTTATACAATTATAATATTAAAAAGATTAATATCAATCATTTTAAAATACAAAAAAAAAATATATATATATATTTTAACAAAAAAAATTTTAGTATATATACATAATACAGAAATTAAATAAAATATATATATATATAAATTATAATATAATATATTTAAAATACAATATAAATATAAATAAAGATACATCAATTTAATATATGAAACATAATAATAATAATAATAATAATAATAAGAATAATAATAATAATAATAATAATAATAATAATAATAATAATAATAATAATAATAA